GGTTTGGGGGGGGGGGCGCCAAGAGTTACCGCCGGTGGCGGGCTCAACACCGGACCGTCAGTCCTGCACATTCATGCAATCCTCTATCAAGCCCGCTCTCTTCGACGGGCTGGCTTCCAAGACCAGCGCACACACCAGGCCGGGCCATGCTTTTGATGAGCGACACAATTAAAGCAGCACAATCACAATTACAGTCCTCTGAACCTGCTGTACATAAGACCACCTTGCAAACACCCCGAGCATGCTCAGCATGCTGCATGGGCCACCACAGCCTGAACATACCACCTTCCTCTTGCTCAAGCACAAGGGGCCCCAAAACAGCCTCAGTTGCTCTGGGGCCCCTGCATGCCTGCACGTGACAGTGGCCCTGCTGATCTCATCGCTGCAGCAGCTTCCCCGCCAGCCACTCGATGCCGCGGTCCAGGCCGTCCCCAGTGAGCGCGTTGCTGGGGACGATCTGCCACGGCCGCTGGCGGATGTCCTCCAAGCGCAGCGCCTGCAGTCAAGGTGGGCCGCGTGCAGAGATCGTCGATCGGCGCGCAGGCTGTAGTAGTATTGAGGCGTGCAGCTGTGCAGCTTGTGCGCACGCTTGCAGACACCCAGCTGCCCGCAACCAGATTGAAAACCAAACAGCCAATGCTCGGCGCCGTGCCACATGTGCAAGCAAGTAGAGAGCAAAGTGTGCCTGCGCCCTCCCGTCTCTAATTCTTTCTCAGGCCCACCTGGGCGATTTCCACAGGGCTGAGCGCAGTGGGCAGGTCGCGCTTGTTGGCCAGCAGCAGCAGCGGCACGCCGCGCCCCAGCTGCGGGTGCCCCAGCATGTTGTCCAGCTCATCCTTCGCGACAACCCTGCGGCAGCAACCAACCGCGTTATGTTGCGACGCGTGTGAAAGCTTGCTTCACAGTCGCAACTGCAGGCTTCTGGTTGCTCTGCGACTCCGAGCCGCCAGTCGCATGCGTACCCTAACGTCCGCTCCCCGCGGCCGCCGCCTGGCGCCCGCCCCATCCCGCGCCGGCTCTCACAGGCGCAGCTTGTCGGCGCTGTCAATGACAAACACCACCGCCTGAGCCTCCTGATAGTACTGCTCCCACAGCACGCGGTACCGCCCCGCGCCGCTCATGTCAAACGCGGTGAACTTGAGGCCGCTGTGAGTTCAAGGCGTTGGGGTAGTGAGGAGCTGGGGACAGGGCAGATTGATGCGGGCAGACGGGAAGCCATGCGTGCTTGCTTGGACGCCCCAAAAGGTTCGGCCGCGGCTGGCCTGCAAGCACCCAGCGGGGCAGCTAGGTGCCCAAGGGGTTCAGCAAGGGCCGTCGCCCATGCTTGGGACCGCGCAGGACGGAGTTGGGTGGGGGTGGGGGCCCACTCACCCCCGTTGGAACTCGTCCACGTTGAATCCCACAGTGGGGGCGACCTCCACACTTTGCTTGCTGCGCGGCTGCGGTGTGGACGCGCCGGCGCAAACACCACTATTTTGAAGTGTCCGAGGAGGCCGAGGGCATAGCTAAACGTCCTACATGAGCACCTAACGCATGCACGAGTCGCTCCTGGCCAATCGCGCCTTGCATCTCCCCGTGCTGGCCTATTGCCTTTGCACACCTTGAGCCGCTCTATGGTGGTGGTCTTGCCGCTGTTGTCGAGGCCGACAACCAGCACGTTGACCTGCCGGTGGAGGGTGTCAGCGGCAGTAAAGGGACATGCACCGCGCTGGTGTGTGCAGCAAGCAGGTGTGCTCACAGAGCACACACTGCATTTGCCGATGCCGAGGGCAAGCCAGCAACACGCAAGCGGATGTGCCTACCTTCTTGCCCCCTAATCCCAACAAGTCCAGCAGCTTTTGCAGCAGCCCCATGATTCCCGTTGGATGCGACGCTGCGCAGCGCGGCCGTCTGTGCGCGCGCCACCGCTGTGGGGTCAATCGCGGTCAACCAAGGTGTCGGGGTGGGGGATAGAGCTTCAGGCTGTAACAGGTCAGAGACACCGATTAGATATACGTGCAAAGCCCAGGAGCCACCGAAGATCGACCCACTTCTACAGTGGACACAGAAACCGACGCCTATGGTATATCGGATCGCTTGAAGCGAATACTGAGTATTTCTCTGTACAATTAAATGAGAACTGAATGATACCGGTATGAGAGCGTCTTCGCTGTGGCGTTCAGTGGGCTCACCCCGGCGCAGCGTTGTCCATCTAACCTGCGGGCCCATATAGAGGATTAGACACCAATAAGAAGATCGACGCGCTGACAGCCGGAGGATCCGCGCGAAGGGCGCGTTTCGAGCCATGAGCAGCAGCGGTAGCCCCTCCAAGGAGGGCGACACCGCATATGCGTCCAAAACAGACCTTATAGACTGGATCAATAACTTGCTGCAGCTGCAGCTGACGAAGCTCGAGCAGGTGTGCCGCCGGGCGCACGACCACTGTGTTGGGCCACAGCGCACGCCACATGCCGCGCCAGCGCATCGCGCTGTTTGCGCGCCACGCAGGAAGTGATGTGCCCGCGAAGGAAACCACGCAGTCCTGGGTTATTACACATGCCAGAATAACTTACTGAGTAGTGTGTGCGCCACAGCAGGCAGGCTAGCGTGAGGGATTCGTGCGCTTGTCCAACCCGCCGGCCGGCAGCTGCATTGCTGCCCCAGGCGAGGCCGTGAGGAAGCCCCGAATACCTTGCCGCTTGCCGCGCAGTTCGCTTCGGGCGCCGTGTTCTGCCAGCTTCTAGACGCGTACTTCAGCAATGTCGTCAACATCAACAAGGTGCGAGTGCTGCCTTGCACCCGCTGCCCTCGAAGCAATGCCAGCCCCAGCCGCCCCCCAATGCAGCAACGCATGCAGCCGCGAACACCACAACAGTGCCACATGCGGACGAGCATGCACAGTCCGCAATTTTTGGTTCGATGTGCAGTTGCCTGTGGAACTCTGACGGCAGCAGGGGTCCATTCGCGGTGGTGAGGCGGCAGGTCCCTGAGCCAGCACTGCGCCCCTGCGGGCCGAGCACGCCGCGCACGGCCTGCCGCGCCGTTCCCCTGACAGGTCAACTTTTTTGCCCGTGACGAGCACGACTCCCTGCCCAACTACAAGCTCCTGCAGTCGGGGCTCAACTCCCTCAACATCACCCGGGTGCGCGTGGGCATGGAGCTGGGCGGCATGCTCCCTCACGCCGTTTGCTAACCTTGCCGTCATCGTGGTGACTGTGCGACTGCGAGACCGTGCGACGTCGCGCCCACAGCCGCGCTGGACGGCGGGTGCCGCGCGGTTATCGCGGCGTCTTGCGCCGGGCTGACCGACGTGGTGCGGCGCCTCGTGTGCGTGCGTGCACGTGCGCCCCTGCAGGACCTGAACGTGCAGAAGCTGCTGCGCGGCAGCAAGGTGGACACGCTGGAGCTGCTGCAGTACCTGCACAAGTACCTCAAGCGTGAGCACACGGTCTGCTTGTGCAGCCAATCAATCCTGATGCGGTGATGGTTTGATGTCGCTAGTAAAAGCCTGATGTGATTGTCCACACGCAGACCATTGTGTGCGAACAATCGCATGACATTTTGATTCATCGCAATGGTCACAGCCCCAGCCTGTGACTAAAGCTGCGTGCTGGCGCCGGCGCTGCCGCAGGGCTCAAGGCGCTCGACGGCTACGACGCGCGCCAGCGGCGCGCACAGAGCGTGAAGGGCGGCACCGACTCGATCCCGGTGCCGGGCTGGATGGCGTCAAACTTTGACAACCTCAGCCAGGGCAGCACAAACGGGCGCAGCGGATGTGAGCGGCGGGCGACGAGGGGGAAATGAGGGGCTGTCCAGGTCCTGAGGACATGTGTGTGTGTGTGTGTGAGTGTGTGTGTGTGAGTGTGTGTGTGTGCTGAGATGCGCAATGCTGGCGGCAAGAGCACAGGGTCGGGCCCAGAGCATTCCTGGTGGCTCTACTTCCTAGGGCTTGGCTCTAACATGCTGACCGCGCCCCCCGCCGCGTGCGCCGGCCTCTCTTGCGGCCCAGTCCGCACATCAAGCGGCAACTGGAGCTATGCAATGGAGCCGCAGCAGTCGCTGCGCTCGCAGCTCAAGACCAGCGGCAGCCTAAACCCCGGCGCCCACATGTCAAGGGCGTCCTCCGTCGCAACGGTCACGGCGGCCGTGGCGTCCCTCTCCGCAAACGGCGGCAGCTCCCCCCGCGGCGCAGCGAGCGCGGCGGGGTCCGCGTCAGCCTCCGGCGGCTGGCCGCAGCAGCAGCAGCAGCGGCGGCCGTGCGCGCCGCAGCGGATGCCGTCGGCGAGCCCCGTGGCGGGGAGGAGCGCGGCGCCGGCGCCCGCGGTGACGACGCCCAGGTCGCACGCGCATGCCGACGACGACGACGAGGTGGGCCGAGGCCGCTGCAGGGTCCCCATGCCGCGGCAATTTGCTTTGCACGCCACCCTCGTTGCATGGCCCTACCACACATGCAGGCAAGCCCGGGGGACAGCGGGCGCCGGGCGCTGGGGGCGGCCTGGTGCTCAACACTTGTCAAGCGCGCGGAACCCCCGACCGCGCCTCCTGCCTGCACCCCCTGGCTCGCTGGCAGCGGTCTGGCACGGTGGCCGTTTTCCAGGTGGTCAGCCACGGCGACGAGCACCTGGCGCAGCTGCGGTCGCAGGCGGAGGACCCCGTGTGCACGACGCGGCTGGTGGTGGCGGACGACGACTTGGCAGGTGAGGGGCCTGAGCGCCGGTGGTGGGGTGCGGTGGGATTGAGCGGTGGTGGGGCGCGCAGGGAACGCATGCTGCCCTGCAATGGCTGAGTGGATGAACTGGCAAGGACTTGGTCAATGTGGTCAAATTGAGCGGCCTGGCATGCCTGGAAACGGGCGGTGAAGCGGCGCCGCGACCCGCCTGCACGCACCCAACCGGTTCGCCGCGCCCGCCGCCCCTCAGGCAAGATGGCGCGGCCGCTGAGCCCCGGCGGGCGCAGCCTGCTGCAGGCCGCGCTCGACGCCGCGGCCGAGGCGCTGGGCGTGCTGTCCAAGGGCGCGGCCAGCTGCAGCGGGGTGGTGGAGACGCTGGGCAGCAGCACAGACAACCTGGGCCACAGGTGAGGCCTGATCTTTGGGCGCGGTGGGGGGGGGGCCTGAGCACAGCTATCGACAGAGCTGACATGCTTATGGATCTGGCGGCCGAAGTGTAATATGTGCTCGCCCATTGTGTGCCCTTGTAGCACTCCCGCTTTGCTGCGCTGCGCCGGCAAGCGGGGCAGTGGGTTCCAGCCAATGCGTGCGCGGGGCTTGCACGTGGGCGTCCCCTCTCCCGCGCGCGTCTGCCGCAGGGGCAAGGTCCGCAGCCTGCAGGACGCGTGCGCGACGCTGCGGTGCCATGCGGCCCTGCTGATCTCCGACATCGACGCCGCCGTGGCGGGCCGGGCGGAGGGCGCGGCCGTGGAGGTGGCGGCCAGCGCCAGGCGGCTGCAGCAGGTGGGCGGATGGGCGCGCGGGCGGCGAGCTTTGGATCTGGGGCAGCAAGCCGACAGCAAAGCTTGGCGGCGGCCTCATCCGAAGCAGCAAGTCGGTGCTTTGCGTGCCGCCTGCGTACGCGCACCTTTGGCACCCCTTTCGCAACAAGCGCTCGAGCGGTTGAGTTTGCCCCAGGAGTCCTCCACCTCACGGCCCATTTTCCTGACCTCGTGTGTGGCGGCGATCCCACCTGCCCACCCCTCAGGAGCTGTCCGTGGTTGATAGGGAGCTCCACACCGCCACGCGCCGCCTGGACGGCCGCCTGCGCGACGCCCCCGTCTCGCCCCTCAACCTCGTCGCGACGCAGCTGCAGCGCCAGCTGACGTCCACCGCCGCGCTGGACGGCGCGCTGCGCGCGGTCGGCACCGCGCAGGCGGCGCTCGCGCAGCGCGCGCACCGGGAGGGCGCGGCAATTGCGGCGCGCTTCCTCTCTGCGCGCGACGCGCCCGCCGCCGGCGGCGACGCGGCCGGCGCAGCGGCGGTGGCGGGGCCTGCGGGCAGCGGGCCAGTGGCGGCGGGGCCGTGCAAGGTGCTGAAGATGGGGGACTACGCCATGAAGCGGCTGCGAAATGGTGACGTGTACAAGGTGAATGGCTGGCCCGCACGGATGGCCTCTTTTGTCTCTGTTGACAGTACGCCTTTAGGCGCCGCATGCGCGGTCGCACCCGCGTTGGTAGGACGCTGCCTGGCAGGAGCAAAACATCCAATGCCGCGATCGCCCCACGCGTGCTGCCGCGCCGCCCCGCGCGTCCGGGGTCCGCAGGGCAAGTACAGCGGGGGCCGCAAGAACGGGGAGGGCTGCTACTGCTTCACCAACGCTGATGTGTACGAGGGCGACTTCACGGACGACCGCATGGCAGGGGCCGGGGTGTACTCCTTCAGCCCGGAGGGCAGGTGCGCAGCGGGGGTTGCACGTGAAGAAACATCATGTTTGTGTGTGTGTGTGTGTCTGTGTGTGTGTGTGTGTGCGTGCGTGCGTGCGTGCGTGTGCGTGCGTGCGTGTGTGCGTGTGCGTGCGTGCGTGCGCGCACGCGTGCGCGTGTGCGCGCGCGTGCGCGCATGTGTGTGTGTGGGTGTGTGTGTGTATTGGCAGCTAAGGGGTTCGGGTGTGTTGGCCAACCGCCTGCAGCTGGCGTTTGCCGAGGAGGGGCGAGCAGCGCCGAAGATGAAGAGGTGTTGACGCAGGGGCACGCTCGATGCTCACAGACAGGGCTGCATTCGCACGTGTGGGGCTGCGGGCCCAGCACGGGGAGTGGCTTACCCCGCACACGGCTTGCTGTCCGCCCAGCTGCCAAACGGCCTCGCCCGCCGCTGTCTGCGGCCCCGCCCTCCATGTTTCGCGCCCCCCAGGTATGAGGGCGAGTGGGCGGCAGCGACGTACGAGGGGGCTGGCAGCGAGACCTTTGCCAAGGGCTCCACCTACCGCGGGCAGTACAGCGGCGGGCTGCGCTCCGGTTGGGGCGTCTGCAGGTGTGTGTCTGTGGGCCGGGCGTGAGGGAATTGCTGGCTGCAGCCGGATCTGATTGTGGGAAGGTCCTGCTTTGAAGCAGCAAGTGTGGCTGGGCACGGCTGGTTGCCTGCTGCCGCGGTTGGGTGAACCTGGAATGGTGGTGGGTGCAGCCTGTGCGGGCTGTGCCCTGGCGACCAATCAGCATGCCCAGCACGACCAACCTTGCGCCCGCCCTCCTGACGACCGCCAAGGTTCTTCAACGGGGACTACTATGAGGGAAAGTGGGAGAAGGGCGTCCGCGAGGGCATCGGCATGCAGCAGGTGGGGGGTCCCGCCAGGCGCGCGTCTCAAGCCCTTGCGCGGCTGGGCCTTGCGTGGGGATGGGCGGGGGAGCGCGCTGCCGGCCGCGGCGTGCACAGGGCCCCTGCACGACCTCTGATCGACGCCGCGGCGGCTCACGCTGTAGCTCGCGCGGCTGGCGAGCCAACGCATTGATGACTGCCGCAACACGCGCTGTGCGGCCTCAGCGCGGCCTTAACAAAACCGCGCCGCGCCGCCGCTGTGCGCCTCGACTCCTTGTGCGACCCGCCGCAACCCGCACCCCCCCCTTCCAGTGCACTGACGACAGCAACTATGTGGGCGAGTACGCGCGCGGCAAGCGCCATGGCTACGGCGTCTACTCCTTCGCCAACGGCGACCAGTACACCGGGGAATACGAGGAGGACCTGCCGCAGGTGACTGGCGGGGCGGCCGCCGTGGCGGACGTGGGGCGCGGGGGGCTGTGGGAAGTCGCTCCGGGCGAAGGGGTCGCAGGCGTGCCAATTTACTGGTGTGTGCGCGCTGATAGGACGACGTTGAGTGTAGCCCATGCAGCCCGACTGTTGCCGCAGGCCAGCACCCTCCGAGCGTGGACCACGCAATATGGGTCGGGAGTGCCCGCCAGTGGCAGGGCAACCCTGCGTGTGCACCCCCGCCCACCCGCCACGCGTCGCCCTCTCTGCGGCCCCACCTGCAGGGCTACGGTGTGTACGTGTTTGCCAGCGGCCAGAAGTACGAGGGGCGCTGGGAGAAGGGGAAGAAGCACGGCTGGAGCATATACACCGTGGAGACGGGTGCGTGCGGTGTCACACATGGGAGGGGCTCATGTTGAACGAGTCCAGGATCGCCACCTCACAGGGCCCGCTGGGCTGCATCACACAGCATGCGCTGCAGACCCAAGCACAGCTATGCGCCCTGTTGTGATGGACCCTGCGCCTCAAAGCCCAGTTGCGTTGGTTCTGCGGACCCTCAATGGCTGCCCACTTGAACGTGTTGACTGTGGCTTTGCAGGCCAGCGCTGGGCCGGGAACTGGCTGGAGGGGAAGCCTGTGTGGGTGCACCCGCTCCCAACAGGCGACGCGGCGGCGGCGGCGGGCGCGGTGGAGGGCGGCGCGGCCGACGGGCAGCCGGCGGAGGTGGCCGACAACCTCGTGCACGCGGCGGCGGCGTGCAAGACGGCCCAGGAGGTGCGGGGCTGCGCAGGCGCGCTTGCTGTGTGGGAGATGGAGGGGGTCAGGCAGCAGGGTGTGCGGCGTTTCAGCCGGTGGCGCGGGGTGTTCAGCACCAGGGCGCGCCAGCACGCGCGCTGATCCGCGTGAGGGGCCCCGTCATGCGCACATGATGACGTGGCTCCCGGCACCGTGGCCGCGGCCGCGCGCGCAGGCAGCTCGGGTCGGCGTGCAGAAGGCGCAGGAGCACTGGCGCGCCGACGGCGACGCGCAGGCCGGCCTGGCCGCGGCGCTCGGCTCCGCCGGCCGCGCCGCTGAGGCTGCGCAGGCGGCGCGCGCCAAGGCGCGGGACCTGGGGCGGAAGCTGCACGCGGCGGCGCTGCTGGTGGAGCTGGGGGGCCGCGGCGCGGAGGGCATCCGGCTCGCGGGCTCTTGACACGGCAGGCGATAGAGCCCTCCTGCGCGCCGCGCGGAAACGCAGTGTTTGCAGCGCCAGCCGTCGTGTGGCGGGGCTCGCGCGGGCCCAGCGACGCCCTGCTGGGGTGCGGTGGGCTTTGGGGCGGCTTCGTGAGGGCGGGCGATCTTCAACAGCAGAGGGCGGAGGGGGGGCGTCCATCAAACCTCGTCGTGCTGCCGCTTCGTGCGCTGCTGCTGTTGTCTTTGGGTACATGCCAAGCCTGCTGCTGACTGTTGGCTCGGGAACAAACGCAGGATTCAGCGGTCCAAGTCCATTTACTTTACTTCCCATGGCATTCATATTTTTTAATTATACCTTTAACCATACTCCTGACATGCTGTTACACACACACATACACACACTTGACTGTTGGGACTGGTGACATTTGCTTGCTTTTGCCTGGTGTCTGACCAATTTGTAGATCGGCTGGCCTTTGGCTGATCCAGGATCTGTGTAATGCGATGTTTGCCAGCCGGACAAGTTGGACCCCCCCCCCCCCTAAATGGGGTTTGTGCATTGTGGAAGGCCAATAACAATCCCGCGAGTGTGTGGGAACCTTGGCTTTGTCGCATGTTCGAGCACAATTCATCATGGCCCATGTTGAGCCAGACTTGGGCAGAGCCTGGTGGCCAGCGAAGCCAGCGCTGCGAGTGAGTGCCTGTGCCGATTGCGCAGCTCCCCGCCCCAACAATTAAACTCTTTGATGTGCTGCGGTGGCGCTGCCCATGCAAAATATTGGGTTTCGCCCAAAGTCAACCCGCCGTGTCGCCGCCTGCGGCTGATGCATGCATTGCCGCGCCAGATGGCTCCTGGGCGCCTCCACCAAGATTTTTTAGCGATTTCAAGCTCCTCATCACTTGCGATGCCGCATAGGGGCGCAAATCGAGGTAGATGATCTGCGAACGACGCTGTTTTGCCATAACACACAACAGAGACAGTGATTGTCTCTGACATCGACGGCCGCGTGCTTCTGCGCCATTGGCAAGGGTCGTCGGCAAGGGGGTGGGCACCAGTGCCTGCAGGCCTGGTGCCACGGCGCCCATCTGTTTCGCTGAAGTGCAGTTGTGATTGTCCTTGCAACCATTCTCTCCTCCCGGAGAACTGCACTTCTGCCCTTCGCCTGTGGCCGCAGTGTCAGTGTTGTTGCCCCGCGCGGCCTGGCACCGCCTTCCGGGCCTGATCGCCCACCAAGGAGACCTCCGTGACAGGTGGGTCTACACCTGGCAAACGATAGGCTGCGGGGAGGTGGTCCACCACGCCAGGTGCTGCACTGGCAGCCAGGCCATTGCCTCCTCTGCGGGGCGATGTCCGCCCACGGGATGGCCTCAGCAATACCCACTGGCACTCACGGTGTCATGTCATCGGCCTCAGCGGCGCCTTGGCGTCCCCGCTTGAGCACCGATCTGGCCTTGCCCCGGGGCTCAACTCATCAGTAGCTTGCTTCGAGGACCAGCCCACCATTCGTATTGCACACTCCACAAGGGGTTTCGCTGCGCGTGGTGTGCCCTCATCTTCCCCGCCCCACTGCCGATGCCGACGCCCTGCCTACCCTCCCTGTCCCCCCCCTGGCCTGATACGGCCCACCCGGCTCCTTTCCGCAGCCAGGATGGCGGGACGTAGGAAAGCTGATCGGTATGATGACTTCGATGACGAGGAGGGCTATGATCATCACTCGGCCTACCCCTCGGCGGTGTCGGAGCGCTCGCGCCGCCGCAACGCCGGCAATCGGATGGCCACCATCATCTCCAGCCTGCAGCGCCCTGACGACGACGAGGACGCTGTCGCGGAGGAGCCCGATGATGACGAGCCCGCCCCGAAGCGGCGTGGCCGGCCGCGCAAGAGCGCCGCGTCTGACGGCCCGGCGGCCGCCCCCCGCCCCGCTGCGTCGATGCAGCCGGGCGTGTTTCCGGGTGGCGTCAACCCCCAGGTCGCGGCAATGATGGCAGCACGAGGCATGGCTGCGCCCGGCATCGGCGCCGCCGGTCTTCCCCCGCAGCAGCAGCAGCTGCTTGCGCAGCAGCAGCTGCTTGCTCAGATGCAGGCAGCGCAGCAGGGCGGCTACGTCACCATGATCAACGGCCAGCCTTACATGATCCAGGGTCAGCAGGCCGCGGCCCTGCAGCAGCAGGCCCTGCTGCAGCAGCAGGCGGCGCTGCTCCAGCAGCAGCAGCAACAGCAGCAGCAGCAGCAACAGGCGGCCGCGGCAGCCGCGGCTGCGGCTCGCCCGGCGATATCAGTTGCTCCGCCAGCTGCTGCCCTGGCGCCTGCACC